TCTATGGTGAGAGAGATTTGATGAAGATAGATGCTAGTGCGGCTAAGGATAAGGTGGGGAAAAGGTAGTGGTGTGGTGCGGCTGAGGATAAGGTAGGGAAAAGGTAGTGGTGCGGTGGGGAAAGAGAGCGGTGCGGGCCCATGAGTCAGGTCGTGTGTCTTGAGCGATCCGCCGAAAACTCAGTCGGCGCCCCGGCGTAAAACGTTTTCCATGAAACAAGTACTTCCCGCATGATGTAACATGTACTCTTGAGTAATCTGTACTTCCCACGGTTAATAAAAGAACTAAAAAGGCAAACCAGGGGAAAAAAAGAAGGAAAAAGCCAATATTAAAAAGAGGAACATGGAAAGAAAGGGAAAAACCACCAATCCTCCAGTTTTTTAGACAAGACGCTTGAAGTCATTTTATAATTGAAAAATATTATCAAGAATAACGGTGAACAATGCAATGGAATGACACCAAACTACAAAACGACTAGAAAAATACATTAAAATTACATCAAAAATCATGCTGACCGTCTTCTTCCATTGACTGTATGCAGTCGGCCGAAGTTTAAAAATCACACTGAAATAACGGTAAGAAAAATTGGTATCACTTGGGCATCGCCCCATGTAACGTGGCTTGCAATTCTTCACCATCAGTCTGGATGGTAGAAGCAAGAGTACGCCCTCTACACAGCTTGCGCGTGTTGTTGAGCGGCAACAGGGTGGCCGATCGCGATCCCGTCAAGCCTGATCTCGCCTGCCGACGACGGCCCCGCCACGGCCCCCATGGTAGTATTAGCACCAGCCGCCGCCGCGTAAAGCATGATATAAGATATGATCCCGAACACGGTGGCGACGATGCTCAGAATAGCCCCCATCATGAAGACGCCGTCATTGACGGCGTGACACCCCCGGCCCTGGCTAGTTTCGCGCGTCATGGGGATGTTCATCGCCGCACCTACCAAGAAGAACCGCTCCGCGATCAACGCCATTATCCTGCACACAATTCGCAACATATCCATCGCCGTTGAATTGGCGTCAGCTCGATCGAATCCTCGACATGCCTCTTATGAGAACGGAAGCTCACCATGAGAGGACGCAGAGGGCGGCGCCAGTGGCCCGCTTGGACTTGGCAACGGGCTTGGACCCGGAGAAGCCGGCGCCCCGGGGCTTGCAGCGGCCGCAGCAACCGCCGACGGTCGAGGCGGTGATCTGGGCCAACAGCAGCAGGAGGGCCGCCAGCAGCGCCAGTGCGTATGCCGGGTTGTCAGGGTACACGCACTCGTTGCTGTACACCTCAATGTCATTCCGCTGCGCGCCACGAAGCATCGCAAGCGCGCGGATCAGTTCAGTTTGCTTGAGATGGACGGAGCCACTACCATTCTACATACTTACCGTGAGCTTGGTGCCCTCGGCGATGAACCCCAGGACGGCACTTGCGACCCCAAACAACGCTACCACGACACACAAGACGATCACGGTAATCTTCATTTCTCTAACAACCTCACGACTTCCTTTTTTGGTCCGTCGTCCGAGATAGTGACTGCGTGAGGTGATGGATGGGTATGAAAGCCATGATCAAATGTTCTGATGCTTATATAGAGGACGCTGGTCAGGTCGGTCACGGTCAGGCTATTAGTTTTCCACGAAGGTGCCTCTTCACGCGTATTGTTTCATTTTGTCCGCAAACAGCGTCTCGAACCGGCTGGCGAGAACTGCGAGGTTAAGGCTGACGATCGTACATAGTCGTATCCGAAAAACAACATCTCATGACAAGCCTGGTTACGTAGATACTCCCTCCATTTTATAATGTAGTGCTTTCTTTATTTCCATGCTTCAATTTTGACCGTAAATTTAACTACCAAGACCGATTGCGGCGGGAGCAAAAATTATATCAATGAATTCGTATTCAAAAGAAGTTTTTAATTATATAATTTTTTTCCCGCCACAGTTTGTCTTGTTGGTTAAATTTATGATCAAAGTTGAACCTCGAAAAGCACGGGCGCATTATATTTTGAAATGGAGGAAGTATCTAGCAACGCAAGGCGTGTGCATCTGCCAACTTTGTGATTGATGCTGACAGCTGATTACGAGTGTTCTGGAAGCCGATATGCTGTGTACTGTACACTCACAGAAACAGGAAGGCAAAACACACACTCTTGACAGATTATGTAAACCCTCTATCTTGAATCTTTTCAAACCGGCCCTTCAAAACAACAATTGGCATTCCTTGCAGAGGGCCAAAACTCTTTCCTCCTCCAAAAGAACAGACCACTAGCTTTCCTCCTCCCCATGTCGGCGCAGCCGCCGGTTCGCCCCATCTTCAATGGCCTTTGGGCCATGGAGGTGCGAAGGACCTCGGCCCTTCGCTGATGGGAGGGATCCTGTTCCCGTTCTTATTAGGTTTAGTATCTTGACTGGGGTTGTGTGGCAGTGGCGATGTCCCCATGTTCTATCCCGTCCCAATAGTGCGTCAAGCGTCATCGAAGAGCGTGTGGAGGTGTGTCTTCGTCGGATCTCGCGGGGTTCGGTTGGTGCTGGTCTTCGATGGATCTTTTTGAATCCGGTCTTTGTTCGTCTTTGTTTGAGTGTTTACATGTTTGATCCTTCTGATCTACGATTTTTTTTAACAACTATGGTGGCTATGGTGCGCTAGTTCTATGGAGCCTTAGTACGAGGACTTCTTGACTGTCTACTACAATAAGATTTGCCCGGCTCCGGCGAGAGAGGAGCAATGACCGCGGTGCGCCTTCGGCTGGCTCCAGTGCTTGTAGTCCTTGCTATGTGGTCCATGAATCTGATTGTAATTTTATTACCTCAGGAGTTCTTTGTACTACTATGATTAAAGATGAATAGATTAGAAGTTTCTCACACCAAAAAATAACAATTTAGTTTAACATTTCTGAGATGGGATGGGAAATATAAAAGGCTTTTTTAAAAACCTTTTTTGGGCGTAGGAGTTCTTAAACAGCCCGTCAATTTTATTTTTGAATTTTTATAGCCCTTCAAAATAACAATCGGCCTTTAATATTTTTGGAATAAGGGGCGATATAAAAGGCTTTTGAAAACCTTTCTTGGACACCGTAGGAGTATACCTCGAACTGGTTCCTCTCGCTGCCGCCACCCAACAACCCCATCAATTCGGGGCTCCTGCTATCGCCAAACCGTTCCAAACTGTTTCGCTCCTCATCAATAACCAATTCCTACCGATACCCGCACCCGCACCCTGAGCAGCCGATGCCACCATCAGAGATGGCATACATCAACACGACACTTCCGTAGCCCCTCCTCACTTCTCCCCCTCTCTCAAAGACAACCCCTTTCCCCTTTCCACAGACAATTCCTCTCCCTACCGCATCCTGCGCCCCACGCTGTCGTCCCTACACCGGTGCCGAGCGGTGCTGTGGTGCAAGTTTGACACGCATGTTGCTCCTGTCATGCCGGATGAAGGGTAAGAAGTCCCTCGTGCAACCCCTCCTTCCTTTTCCAACCTTCACCGGTCATCCCTTCGTAAATTACGTCAGCCACCAGGTGGACCCCGGCAAGAGTTTTGACCTTGTGCTTGCATGAAGAGGGGATTAAAATATGTGACAAGAACAAGTGGGCTCTGCCTGTTATTGTATAAGCAAAAAACCTACATGTGGGAAATTTAAAGTAGCACAACACCTCCAAAACTTCAAAATGTTTTTAAATGCCACTTAAAACCATTAAAAATGCTCAAATTCAAGTGAGTCAAAAAATATGCACAATTTAGGCCAGAATGTCTCACATCACAACTGTTCGCCACCCTACATATTAGTCTAGCTAGTCAACTTTTCTCGGCACTATGTGGCAAATTTCTATACTACTCTCATATAATCTATGTTTCCTTTCTTGAACTTGAATGACACACGGATGAAAGGGAAGAAAAAGCAGGTCTTGCAAAAGTGCAAGTATTGTATGATCAGCTCCAGAGAAAATCTGGCCCGTTGAGGGCTCTGGTAAACAGCTGGGCATTTTCGTGCATTTGACTTGAGCACATAATATGATACGACTAAGGGCCAGTTCCTTTTCAGATTCTTCAGAGTCAGATTCTAGAAAACTACCCATGGAATTCAAGTTCTTTCTAGAGATTATAGTATGATATTGTGTTATGAGTTGTGTGCTGAAATGCATGTAATGCAATTAGACTGAAACTATGTGCTGAATTGCTAACAATTGGTTCTTTTGAACAGTTTCTCGTCGAATATGAGCACGAAAGCAATTTACGGATATCATAAAGTGCTAAATATTACAATTAAAAGGTAGTAATGTTTCCTTCCTAACAAAAGATGATGAACTACAAAATAGAAGGACTAATATCAAGATACGAGACTAACAACAACAACCTCACATGTTGAGGCCATGGTACCATCATCTTGGGATGTTTGAGTGTTTGCACGTGTAAAAGGCATGGGAGGTCACACATACACATCATTGTCAAACTTGTCAACATACACACCACATAACCTGTTATCACGAATGCAGTTGTGGGGACACATGCATGCAGTGACGATTATCCTTTGGGTCTCCTGTTTGTACCGTGGTATGCCTAGGGGAACTTGCCATTTCATCTTGAGAACACCAAATGATCTTTCGGCGACGTTTCACAAAGAAGAATGGCAATGATTGCATGTCTCGTGTCTTCCCTTCGGAGGGTGTTGTTGCAACTCTAGTACATGATACCGTTGCCCTTTGTATCGTGCTAGATATCCAACTCTGTTTGGATATCGGGAGGCCAAAAGGTAATATTTATCAACAATAAAACATGAATGGACATGAGAAATTTACAACGTAGCATCACGTATATAAGGATATGCGTACATACAAGATTACCTATTGGGGTTGTGAAAGATGATCATACTGAAATATAGCATTGCTCCATATATACACGTGAGGTATGAACAAACTAGGTCATCCAGGAACAACACGAGTGGATCTCACATCGAAATCACACACGGCCATGACATTTTCACTTGATGTGCACTTTGAGTTTCCACTATCTTTTTCCTTGCATTAAAGATTTCCACCGTACACACAAATGCCTCAATTTTAGCACTCTCACTTGCCATCTTCTTCATTCATCTTAGGAGTTGGCGAATAAGGATATGCCCTCTTCTTCGCACCCTTTGCACGAGTTAGGAAAGGTGTAAATTGGGCATCTCACCTTTACAGATGAAATCTTCCAAATTGACTTTAGAGGGATCACCTTGATATGTGGGAATTGGCACCCTCGCATGATCATTTGTGCAACAAGCATCAAACACCTCTCACATTTGATCCTTCTCCATGATTCGAGCAAACCAAAACATTGCAGCTTGTGGACGTGCCTGCAATCAAATAGCACAACTATACATAAAATGCAATGATACCAGCAACATTACACACTATTTGTAATTATGACATGACAACAATGATATCTTTAACTCAATGGCCACCAATCATCGGTAGCATCAATGGTCTTCGTAAAATGATACCTTCGTACACCAAATGTTTTTTTGAAGCAATGTCTTCCATATACTATAATTAGTTCCACATGCACCCAACTTGTTTTTTAATTGCTGCCATGAATAGTTTCTGCTTGTGCGTTCATTGAACTTTCCATATCCACGTTCAGACAAACACGAGTCAAGGACGGTTATTTGCTTGCATTTCTCTATGCACACATCCATAAAGAAATGGTATGAGCTGCACTATCCCAATTTGCTTTGACTCCCTTGACTTTCTCCATTCACAACACATGTATACAATTTTTAATTTATACCATATATAATTTATATATCATTAGTGGCACCATCATTAACAGTACCAGTAAATTGTTGCAGCGGTACCATGTTTGACAACCACCAAATAAGTAACACTTCATTGACAATACCGACAATATCATTTTTGACAAGTACCAAGTTAGTACCACCATTGAAACTGGTAGAAGATTTACATAACCAGTAAATTGACACTAGCAGGTTTAGCAACCACCATAACTAGTACATTCACACAACCACCATTGACATTAGCAAGTAGCAACAACAACAAATTGAGACAGAAGAAGAGAGGAAGAAGAGGGAAGAGCTCACATGCGTCAAGGGATCTTGTGGAGTCGAGCAAGGTGGCGCTACCTTTTGATGGTGATGCCGGGTGGGTCAGACGTCGGTGATGGTATCCTTAGATTTGGAACGACAGGGGAGGCGTGTTACAAGCGGCACTCGGGGTCGGGGGCAGGGCAGCGTACGGCGTTGAGTTTGTGAGAGCGGGGTGAGAGACGGCATTGGCGGCAGGCGGGGAGGGAGGCTAGTTAGTCGAGGGAAAATTCCTATCTGGCACGGTGCCACCTGTGCTTGAACCCTAAAAAAATTGGGTCTAGGGGGAGGAGGGTGGGGATAGAGGAGATAAGCGAGCAGTCGGCTAACTTGTTTACTATGTTTGTCTGGTTTTCGGCCTGTGTGGCATTTCCCCTGTAATTACTTGTTCAAATA